GAGGTAAAAAAAAAAAAACGGTAACCTGCGTGCCGAGATCACGAAGTGAATTGGCTTGTTTTACAACGTCGTTGCCAAGCGACGAAAACCCAACCCCGATGGCAAACACCGGGGGGGGCGGGGGGGGGCGCAAACCGAGGGAATCGCGCCGCCCTCAACTCAGCAGTAAGAAATGGGGAGAAGCTCCAGACCGGGAAACAACCCGGTGGTGTCAAGGATCACTGCTGGAGTAGGTCCGGTATTTGGACCAGGCAGTGGGGACGTCAGGGGGTCGTTTCCCCAGGGTGAGACAACAGCGACGTATGGAGGTGGTCTTGGCTTCAGTGGACACGGTTTTCCCCAACCATACAAAAAAATGCGTGTGACGGTAATCGCGCCGCGTCTCGAACGCGACCACGCGTACTATACGTGGAGGAGGGCGTTTCTCCAACCAGCTATGACGATTGACATGGATGGTCAATTTGTAGGGGACACAGAACGCCAGGCGCCCGTCGGGGACATGGAGAAACAGAAAGCTGCGTTGCTGGCGGAAGGGTGCACAGAGGCAGTAATCCACCGTTTCCATTTCCTGTCGTCAGTCTTTGTGAGGGAATCATACAAGGCCATCTTCGTCAGATGCGTGGCGTCAAAACAGGCCGTGGGTGAACCAGACAAGGTGCACAACCCGGAGTCGCAGGTCTTCACACTTGACCTGCTCAACAATTTCCAAAACTTCGCAATGCCGGCCGACAGCAACTCAACTGAATCGCTCATCGCCATGGAGCAACTCGCAAGTCGCCTGAACGAGAACGGGGTCAGAGTTGAGACCCTTTACGTTTTGTCGCTCTTCCCCTCGGACCTACCGGCCGAGCACAACCACGCCGAACTGACCCTGCAGTCCGCCCCGACTCTGGATCGGGGGGAGATCATCCACGTGGTGGACTCACAGCACTCCAGCATCAGGCAGGAGAAGAGTCATCGGATCTGCAACCGCAAACATCACAATGCGGTCGAGCAGGCATTCATAGCGAGAGACAGCAATGGCGGTGGCGGAAGATCTGGTTGCAACCGCGGCTGCGGCCGCGGGGGACGCGGCGGTGACGGCAGCGGCGGCGGCGGCGGTGACGGCGGTGACGGCAACGGTGACGGCGGCGGAGACGGCCGCGGTGACGGCGGCCGCCGCAGGGACCGGTGATACCGGTGCAACAAGCGAGGGCACCAGTCGTTCTCGTGCACTACCCCCACTGCCGAATTCATGCCCCAGTGCGAGAACTGCGACGGACTTGGACACGACAAGAGCAAGAACCCGTCGGCGAAGGACGAGGAGGCAGTCCTGGCGATCATGGCGGCAAGCGATGACGAGGAGCTGGATGTAGCACGGGAGGCCTTGCGATAAGGGGAGGGGGAAAGACACTGAAGCCGCGCGGTTCATTGCGCGCGCTCCATTTACACACAGCAACAGCAGGAGTAGATGGTGTTGATGGCCACAATAGCAGCAGCGTGGGAAGGTCGAGTCACAGAAAACGGTCGAAGGGCTGTGTGCCCATAGCCACGACGAAAGGCGTGTGGGAGGGAAACAACCAAACAACACGGCGGGATGACCACGGCGGGACGGCCGTGTGCCCATAGCCGCGACGGGAAGGGCGCGGGAAGACAACAATCAATGCAGCCCCATGGCGCTTCCGAAGGGGCGTGGGGGGGGGGGGGGGGGGGGGGGGGGGGGGGGATGGTGTCCTGTCTGCTTGGGGGAGTGATGCGATGCTGCAGCTGGTGCATGTCTGTGTCTGACGCAAGACGCGTGCGGTGTCTACGTTTTGGCGTGGTTTACTATTGGCAGAGCGACATCATGGACAACGACGGCGAGGGGACGGCGAGCAGGAAACGGGCCAGGGAAGAGGACGACGAGGCGGGGCGCGACCTCCAGAACACGGGAAAGGAGGACCCCGTAAGGTATGCGGGGATGACGGGGGACGTGCGGACCAAGAACCATATCCCGTTGATTCGAGCGATGGCATGGGGCATGTTCAAGGCTGGTTGAGTGTCGGGTGTTGGTCTCGGAATTTGTGTTCTTGTGTCCATTGCGGATGGGGGAAGAAGGCATTGTGTGTTCGTCTCTCGCGAAGTGGGCCGATATGATCGCCGTTCTATGTTGTGCGGTGCACTTTACAGAACGGCTTCCCGGTGGCATCTTGTTTCGATAGCTGCGGAACGCAGGCCCTCGGCGTGCGCGCATGTAACGGTTACCACAAGAGNGGGTGTGGGGGGGAGGCAAATGTTAGCCCCGTGGGGCGTCGAACAGGGCGTCGGGGGGAGACAGACAAAGCAGCCCCGAGTCGCGTCGGAAGGGGCGTGGGGGGGCAACATGCATTGTGGTGCTAAAAAGGGAACTCCTTTCCTGGCGAGGCTACACGCCGGAAGGAGCGCTTGGAGGGGACCAGCATGCATCATTGTGCTCAAAACGACACTTCTGTCGTGATGGTATTTGGTGTTTGACGGTATTCGTGGCGAAGTTGGTACACCTCGTTGTTTGTCTTCAGTGCAGTTTGGGTGTAGAACCAGGGAGGGTGTTCCGTGTTTCTCTGAGATGTTCCGTGTCTACTGTCCAATACTATCTGCTCGCTCGTCAGTTGAGACCATCAAATCATTTCGGCTACGTTCATGCCGTTCTCTACGTTTGCGAAACGTGTAGGAAGATGGGATAGTCCTGGAATCGCTCAAGGACTGTACGAGAAAAAAATTGGGCACCGCCGTTGTTGTACTTCCTTGCAGTGGAGTTGCCCGCAAAAAACATGCAGGTGTTTCGCTCCGCAAAA